CAATTGGTCATCCTTGTCACACTGCACTAATTGGGTTCATCACATAGTAAGGTTCATCATTTTATCTATGAGCTAATCAGCTTTATTTCTGCACATTGATTTCCAAACTGATTTCTAAGACATTCTTGAAAGTATTTTGTGACAAAGTTTACCTTAACCTTTTTTAGCCGACTGGACTCGTCTTGAGAATGTAACCAGGCATAATCTATCGTGTATACTGAAAATGTATCGTATAAATAGTGGCCAACTTTTGTACCCCTTTTCATTCTTATATAAGAGGAAGGAATGCTACAATTAGCAATAAGAAATGTTTTAGAAAACAATGCCCAAGTTATCAAAAGTGAATTTGTCCCCAAAGCTAAACGGATTGATCATACCTTTCCAAGAATGCATCTCTAGTTTGACTACACAATTTGACATGAAAATGTGGTAAACTATTATGCAAATTATCTCATTATTATGCAGAAATCTGTAAATCTTTCCATGCCAATATCAACAAGCCATTGAGAATGTTCCAGTCTATTCTGTTCATAAAACATATCACAGATTACCTAATTCCAAAATGTGCTATCTTTGGAAGTTTTCTAAACAATATGGAAATTAGTGACTGTAAATTATTGAGAAATGTTCCAATATTGTATACCGGTATATTCAGTTCACCGGTATTTCAAATTTGGGTTGAAATTTGTGAATACACAAAAGAAATTCAAACTATAGTAAGAGAATATTGTACCTTGAGATACAAGTATGACTTACCAGAAACCTGGATCTTGCATTTGTCATAAAGAACATATATGAAATTTCATTTCTATGAATGCCACTGGTTTTTGAAATGAGGCATACATTTGTGCTTTTGACAAGAGAGCTGATAAAATAAACACAGCATTTTTGTTTGTTTTTAAATACAACTTTATAAGTTTTATTGAAGATACAAAAAATAATGACAAAATAACTTCAATAACGTGAAAAGTAATTTAAACATTGAAATTTACAGAATCACTTCTCTTTTGTTCACTCAACAATCTCAGAACTGCTAAAAATTAAAAATAAGGATTTTGTAGAATAGTTTTTTGAGTGAAACATCAAAATAAAACTTTTCATTGAAACTATTTTATTGAGTTCTGTCAAGCACGCTAACTGTAAATAAAACACAGATGAAGAATTTTATCTAGAGATGTTTCACAATAAAATTTGACGGAGTAAACATGATAATAAGAAAATTGGAAATCTATTTCACACCAAAATGGCAATTTTCTTTTTTTTAAATTTATTGGACACATTTTTTTTTCATTTTGGTATACTCCTTAATTAAAATATTTAAAATGCATTTCTTCTCATCTGGGCTGTCTACTCACTAATTACATATATAACAAAGCAACTACGGATACATAAAATCTCTGTACACAAAAGGCAGCGGATACACTTTACAGCACTTGACTTCTGAAGTCAAGTTTCAACAAAAAAAAAGCCTTAGAAACACTAAAAATAAAACAACTATTGCTAGTTTTACACCTTTCACATATACATTTAGGTTTTTTTATAAGTTTATAATAAATTACATCATACTGTGAATGCTATAGATATTAAATACTCCTCAAATTCAGGTCCCCGAGGAAACTGTGAAAGGCTACTGAAATTCAGGTCCCCCTAGGAAACTGTGAAAGGCTACTCAAATTTGGGTCCCCTAGGAAACTGTGAAAGGCTACTCAAATTTGGGTCCCCTAGGGAACTGTGAAAGGATACTCAAATTGCAAACTGATCTTAAAATGAGATATCACCCCTACTATTTGCAATTGTAAACACGCTGTTCATCAAAATAAAAGTCCAACACTGAATGCATATTTTTTTTAATAGAAGACACTGTACAATGTGGGTAGCATTTCACAGTCACCTGAACATAGTTTGGAGCAGTAAATATGTTTCCATATACATCTGACAGAAAAAATTAATTAAAAAAAATAACTTGTAACAGTAAATTGAATTTAAGCACCTTAGAAAACAAATCTAGTCTCAGTCAACAGAGACAAATTGTCAGCTTCAGCTCCCTCTAATACAATGGCATAGTCTTTATTAATGCATAGTGATTGGAACATCACACTATAATCCAAGGGAAGGAAGCACAAAATAAAATAGGGGACAAGTGTTCAATTTTTACCTTCATATATAGATATATACATACTTACAGTTGAAGTAAATAATGAGGGAGTAGAAATCTATTTTTGGGAAAAGGGGTTTTCTCAATTAAATAATCAATTGGTTAAAATCTTCCAATTAAATTGTGATCTAAAAGTTCTTAAAATTTAAAAAAAAAAGTTTGAACTGGGAAAGATATTCTAGCTATTAAAAGAAAAGACCACTTAAGTATGTGGAAGATTTTTTTGGCAATTGAAACTCTTCTCAACATTTAAGGCAATCTCCTGTGTAATCAATTTGAGAGCAAAAATTTCTTTTTTCACTTTATTGACATGAGAAGACAACATATAACAAATATCCATAAAACTCAATATACAATAAATTCTGTAGAGACATCACATTGGAAGAACAAGAAGACAAATATCCATAAAACATTAAGTTTTATCTACCGTAGTTAAAATATCCTGTATGTAAATGAGTAAGAATTTGGTAGGAATCTACAATACTCTGTGAATCAAACCTCAGTGTGCAAAGTGGACAGATGGGAAAGGTTGTCATCTCCACTCTCATAATCACTTAAACCCATCTCGGAATCCGGCTCGTAAAGAGCCGAAACGTCTGAGCATGAAGCGTTTGTGGAGTACACAGAGATTGACAGGTTGTCCAGGTTGGACACTGAGTGCTCACAGTCCGCATTGTATTCGCTACCATCGTCGTACTCATCTTCATCGGCCATAGGAATTTCATCTTGTGGTCCTGCTACGTTATTGTGGTAACGTGGTGCAGGGCCGTACATGTCTAGTCCACTACCGTACATATCCTGGGATGTCTGTGAATTACTATAACTATGATGTGGTAAATAATGGCTGGGATGTTGCTTGTATAAGTTTTCTTTGTGCTGATAGCTACCATATTGACTCCCTTCCTCTGGATGTTGAGGGGGAGGTGGCGGTGGAGGAGGAGGAGGATAGTTCTCTAATTGTCTTTGAAAGTCATCTATGTTATGAGGGTACTGAATATCACTCGGGTCCTCAGGATAGTCTGTATCCTCTCCTACATACTCATCTTCAATAATGAAATCATTTGTATTTGTCCCGTTACTATTTGTTGGAGAGTCTGGTACCTCATACTGTGGTAATTCGGAAATATCTGGCAGGTTTTCTGGTGGCATCCAGTCTGTGCAGTCCCAGTGGTAGCCTGGAATGAAGACACGTGATGAATAAACGTCAAGATTGAATGTGGAAGCATGCATAAATTATCCAAGAAACATTTTTTTATCATTATCATATAAACAAACATCATCAACATGAAATTGGAAATCTTCTTGAAATGCCATTTTTTTAGACCATCACTTGAATTACAGAAGTAGAAACTAAACCATTATGACTTTCAATATGCTAATAGCACACTGGAAGCCATTTTTTAAAATGGTTTGATGAATTTGACATATGACCAGTTTATTTTTTAAATAAATAAATTTCAAAAATTCCAATATTCATGTGATTTACGGAAACTTCAACCATGTGTCCTCGTTAGATAAAAAAACAAACAAGCTTTGACATGCTTTTCACCAATGAAATACTGATACGATGAAATGAAAACTACTATTTGTACAGTCTGATGTCCTGACGTAACACTTCTTTACAATGTTGATCATATAAGCAAGACTTATGTCCTTCACAATACCGATCATGGAAACAACTGACAATGTTCACATGGTTGAAGACAATAATGATGAAAGTAACATCTGTTATGTTTCTCATGTTTTCTCATTTTTTGTTGTCTACCTCACCAAGTGAGGCAAAAAATTAAGAGAACTAAAGCTAATACAACTATGAACAGAGAAAGGAAATTGTTGACTTAATCTTATGAACTATTTCTCATCGTGTGTCAAATAGGGAAATATAAAAGCAAATTACAGAAGCCTTAATAATGGTAAACATCAGAAACATAACAGATATACAAAAAAACACTGTGCATAAACATTTATAAAAGCTTGCAAGACAAAATCAACAAAAGAAATCTCCTATTACACCAACAACGACGTCCCATCCTAGCTGCAAAGAAAAGTCTGCAAATGCATGGATGCATGCATAGATGGATGTTAATGAAAACATAAATATTACTGACATTCCTAGAAAAAAGGAAAAAAATAATATCTTAAACAATAACATGCTGTGTGATACAATCTACGGATATGGATTGATTACATAAATATATATATAAGTATGACATTGAATTACACATAGAGTAAATACTTTTACCCGCTCACACTATTACAGTTCCCACACTGGGTTACCGCTGTTAGTATACCCATCTACATCTTTCGGCGGCTGGGTGGGTGCTGTTTATATTTATGTGTTTTATTTGCAAAAATAACATGTTTTTTTAGGATCAAAGCAGCATGGCAGCAATAGGAAAAGAAGGAGAGAGTTAAGAGTGTTAGTAACGGTATGTTGTTTTACATGTAGCAAATCTTTGTTTTTTCAAGTAATTGCGAGATCTTGAGATCACACATGTTGATGCGATGAATTGACAACTGGCACCGGTGTTCTCAGTGTCAAAATTTATAAATGCAACAAGGACACAAAAAAAGAATTTTAAAATGATCACGTTTTATGTGCAGCTAACGCATAGCAATTTAAATATCGTATTGCATTTATTGAATTATTTCAACCATAGACATTTACGTAAGTGCATGCGTTTTGTTCATGCTCATGTGGTAGAATCAACGTCACACCAGATCTCAACAGTTACTGAAAAAGGCTACACATGAGGGCAGTCAAACAATTCAAATGTATTCATAAGAAGAGATTTATTGAGTAAACAACTTATAATGAATAACATAATCACACTGACTTTTAAAAACAAAAATACATCGGATATTCTCGGATTTGCTTCAGAAGTGACTGGGGTATTACTTAATTATTATCATTCAAGTTTACATTTACAGCAGTTGTTGGTGTTTGTTATTGTAATATATACGACAGTTAATGAAGCATGCACCAAAGGTTGGTGGTGTTGTAAGCAGGGATTACCCAGTAAAAGATAGAATCATGATTTGAAAACTGCACCAGAAACCATAAGAGGAAGAAGGTAAAGAAAAGCGAAGATAGAAAGATGCTAACCAGGGTTTTTACGTTTCTTATGTGCTTTAGGCTTGTTGGGTCGATGAATGAACACAGTCTGGTGAGTATCGTGGAATTCTGTGGTGGTTTCCAGAGGCTCCTCTGCAGCCCCGAGGAATGTATGTTCTGCTACGTCCATATCATCATCTGTCTGACATTCAGCATCAGCCATCCCTGCATCTCTCTGTGTCAATTCAGCGTCTGATCTAACTGACTCTACATCAGACAAATCAGAATCCCATGTTGTTGGTGGTGGCGGTAAGGAATTAGGCGTTTTTAGATCGTTTTGTGATTCATCAGTTTTGAGGTTAGTAACACTAGCTTTATTCTCTACTACTGAGGGTTCATAGCAAGCGGCTGCGGTGCCAGAGTTTTCTAAATTATCTAAATCTACATTACTGTGTTCATTCAAATTTAGTGCTACATTATTTTGCATAGCATTGTTATTTGTGTGGTCAATATTACAAATTTGATCAGTATTTGTAGCAAGCTCAGTTGAACCCTCCTCCTCCTCCTCAGTTTGATCAAAATACATCAAATTAGTAGCCTTCTCATATTCTGATTCTACTGGGATGCTCTGCTCAGACCCAGGGCTTTCAATTACAAAGTTTGTAACTTTAGGCGTCATATTGAAACGGACACACTTCACGGAGGATGGAGATGCGTCTTTGTACGTTGATGTGTTTTTATCACACTTTGACAGTTTAAGACTCAGAGAAGACTTGGGTTTGGCTTTGCCAGAGTCAGACTTTTGATCTGCAGTTGCTGGACAACAAAAGTTAATTGCAATGAGTTAGTGTTTTTTTTTTTTTTTTTTGAAACACAGCACAGCACATCTAGGATAATATCATAAAGTAAAGCAAGAAAACAGTGATGAAAAACATGCACATATGTGATGTAGACATAGAAAACACAATACTTTTCCTTTTCACATTGGACATCCCACAAATGACTGAATAATTACAGAGACGTAAAGAAACCAGAAAACAAATTAAGACCACATATAATACACAACATTATATATTAAAATGTATTCACCAGACAATGCATTATAACACAGAGACCAATGTGGTCTTATAACAAATTACACATACATACATAAGATATACAATACATTAAGATACAGCTATTACTACCAGTCTTGGGGGGAAAAAATACATTTGAAAATGGGAAATTAATATCAGCCTCAACCAGGGTTTGAAATTGGTTGTAAAAATTACTTTCAACTTTCCTGTGTAGCCAAGAGCCACGCTAATTTAAACCATAAATATATCCTACATTTTGGAAGGGTTTTCAATTTGAAAAAAAAAAAAATTTATATTCCAGTAGGTTTGCTCTCTCGAACAAAATCTTTCACTAACTCAAGCGCAATGTGTTTAATTGATTTAGTGGATTTGATTCATCATGGGTAATCAACTATATACTGTCTGAAAACTAATGATCAGAAATAAATAATAACATTGACATACTGAGACCAATCTGTTATTTTGGCAATTCCTATTTCAAACCCTATTAGCTGAGGGGGTAACACAGACTCAATAATTACTTCACGTTATAATGTCTAGAACTGAGGAATATTTTACCTGGTAACATATCTTCATCATTTTCTGACTGCAATGAACTCAATGAACTGTAGTTAGTATTAGTTCCATCTCGCTGTCTGTAGCCAGGAGTCTCTTCACTCACTACATTCTTTGGTACATTGTTGGCATCAGGGTCATTTAATTTATTACACACTGGGAAAGTAAAACATAGATACATCAAATGGTCTACACCATTCCAAAAAAGAAATAAAAATAGGGGAAATAGTATACATGTTTGAAGCTAGAGTTAACACATCATCAGTTTTTAGCAGGTGATGTTTAATATATATTTTTGCATCAGATGAAGACTCTGAACATTGAATGTCACAACAATTGACCTTACGATCCAGTCATCAATAATACTTTGATAGAAATAGTTACTCAATTTCAGGATTGTGTGAGTCTCATGCCAAAATAAAGATGATATACGCTGTGTCTTTATTGTACAAAACAGGGGTCTTCGATATTGAGGATTCATGAAAGCAATATGGGGTTAACCCAATCCCTGCTCACTTTTAAGGATTTCCAAATGAAGACAGAGAATGTTGGCCACTTTTCTAGCATGATTTTGGTGACATATGTGTATAGAATTGCATTAAGATGAGACTTACTGTTATCGTAGTTCTCAGTGCCAGTCACATTTGGTGGTGTCGTCTCATTAAAATCCCATGGAGGCTTTGCAATAGAGTCACTATCAGATGCTGAGTTGGAGGGTGGCATTGGACCCAGTGTTGGTGGCTGACTAACTGGTTGACCTTGATAAGCATTCTGATCATTTTCATCATAGTTACGATCACTGTCAAGGTTGTTTAATGAATTATGATTACTTGGTGTGTATGAGGTTGGTCTATTCGGGATCTCAGGAGGCATGTTATTACTTGGTTGAAAGTTAACTTCCAGATTAGATAATTTGCTATCACGTTTATCTCCTCCAAGATTGTCCATGCGATGTAACATCAATGTATTGGCATCACGTGTCAGGCTGTCATTCAAGTTAGTTTGCCTCTTCTTCCCCTTATAATTCTTCCTACGTCTGTATTTTCGACATGCGACAAAGAAGATGACTAGCAGAGTCAACCCCAGCAGGGCGGCGATAATACCAACTATTTCCTGCCACGTAATGAGGAAGTTGGATGTTGTGATATGAGGGGAGAATGCGCTTACTTCATTACAGTCCGGCCCTTGTCTATCGATAGTACAGTTACAGGTGAAACCTCCAGGAGTATTTGTACACATCCCACCATTGCATGGATTATCCAGACATTCGTTGATGTCTTCGTTACAATAAGGTCCAGTGAAGCCACGACACTCACAGATGGGACCATCATCACTCTCAATACACAAACCGCCATGCAAGCATGGATTTGGAATACAGTAATTTGTACAAGTTTTACCATACAGTCCTTCGGGACATTCACAGCGGAAGTCTGTTTTCTCATTGATGCACGTACCACCATTCCTACATGGGCTCGGTCCACATGGCGATGTAAATTGACAGCGATCACCAAACCAATTCATCATGCAATTGCATTGAAAGGTGCCATCAATATCCAAGCATGTCGCGCCATTCACGCACGGACTACTAAGACAAGCACTTCTAATACTGTACGGACACTCGCCAACACCATTCGATTGCACGTCATCACCGGACGTTGGTAATCTTTCGCCATTCAAATTCAAATTACTCATACAACCATCAAGCCCATTGCTGATACTCCCGTACTGAGAAATGGGATCTCGTCTACGACGTGCATCACTTTCAACTTCAGCTCCAAAAAAGATATCATCTAAGTTGAGTTCTCGTTTATCGCCAGGTGCATCACCATTTTCGACATACTGATTATCAAGTACTAATTTCGCACTATTGCCTCTTCGATGTACACTAACGTCATGCCATTGACCATCGTCTATTTTCTGTACTATCTGGACAAGTCCTTCACCGCTACCACACTGGAAACGATACTGCAGCAAACCATTTTCAATCTAGAAATAGAAATGGTACAGAGCATGATTAAGTGGCTGACACGTTTGATTTCACATGTGATTGGCACTGTTTTAAAGGCTCTATCGCATGTAATAAGTTAAATCAATCCAGGTAACTATAAACATTCTTGTTTTCTTCTGAATGACACAATTGTTATTCTCGCTACAACTTCTTTATATACTCATTAGCCCAGTTGTTCTGCTGAATGAGTAGAGCAAGTATTCATCATAATTTACAATACAATAATTGAGGTTGCTAACAATAAACTATTCATACTTTACTAATAACATAAACAGCTAATAGTAAATTAACAGTACTTACCTCCAGAATACTGTAATCATAGTCACCAGTACCATACATAATGTTACCATGAGATTTCATAGTTCTAACTTTAGCAGAGACACGTGTTGATGTAGTATCCAACACCAGGTTGTTATAATGAATATAACTGGACCCACTGAAACTAACAGGGCGGAATCTAGGATCTGGAAAAAAAATTAACATTACACTTTGATGGTCATCATTTTTTCCTCTCAAAATTTTAGTGACAAATATTGCCCATTTTTAAGTATTTTTCTATAATCATTTTTTGCGCAAATTGGGAAAAATTATTCATTTTTGTGAGGGACAAAAGTAGCATTTCAAAAGTGGAAAAGGAGTTAAATACAATTTGCACAGACCATATTAGATGTGTAATGAACAACACAGCACAAAAGGTGTTGTCCCACAATGCACCGATTTTTAGACCTTCTGTACGTACAGTCATCATCAGAACACCATCACATGACCACAATGCTCTTATAGTGGTTGTATAGACAGACTTACCAACACAGTCATCATCCACGCTATTATCTGGACAGACACAGCTGTAGTCTATAGTACCAGCTGGTAAACAAATCATGTGTTCTGGACAGGGATCATTATCACACGCATTACCCGGTTCTTCAGTTGTTGGTTCCTCACAACTGTCGCCTACAAAAACAAAAGTGATGTGTATGGTCATTATTTTGAATGTTCATTCATATACATAATCATACAAATACATATAATAATAGCAACTAAAGTAATTATTGTCCACAAATAAATTAGAATGAACTGGCACAGTGTGGATGGTAACAACAGTTTGGCACTCAAAGAGTCAGACAGAGAAAGCAGAGCAAAAAAGAGATTCTCTTCAGCAAAACTTAATGCAATAGTTTACTTACTCTTTTCCTTGCATACACAAGTGTATGACCTGACATGTTTGGCAGACACAAAGCTGGTCCTTGTTGAATACACCGCAGCAATGGTTGACTGATCTAAAGTAAGACTGTCTTTACATCGTGTTGTTTTATCACATGTATCAAGTAGGCAAACAGATGTGAATATTTCAGCTACTGACACTCCCATTCTTTCTTCAAGCGAAGCAATGCTGTCATTGATTTTCCGAACCAGTGGCTTAGGTTTGTAGTATGTATTTGGCGATTTCTCCACAGCAAATAAGACGTCCAGGTCACCACTATCAAAGTCTGTCTCCTGTAAACTGACCATTTGTATATCATCTGGCTGGACTGACAACAGCATGTTCTTAAGCGTACGGGTAAAGATACGATAGTAACCCTCCAGGAAGACTTCTGGGCTAATTCCACTGAAGCGAATGGTGAGACTGTTTTCAAGGGTATCCTGTGTTACCATGACTACATTAACACGCACTTCACCATATGAGATATGCTTATTATCCGAGACGCTGATATTCAGGATATAGAAGCCAATATCAAGATCGGGCAATGCTATGATCATACCATCATTAGAATTAACCATAAACAGATGGCCATTATTTGAGACTAAGGCATATGTCAGAGTGTCATATTCATCATTATCTACAGCATGTATCATACCAATAACCCCACCAGGGAAGTCATCTTGATACGAGTTGATAGTGACTTCCATAGGACTGGAAACCACAGGTGGATGTTTAGATATTATAACTTTGACTTCCACATGTGCTTCAGACCACATGGCTGGTGTGCCGCTGTCAGTTACTCTGACTTTCAATATGTAATTGTCTTTCTGCCCTTGGTTAAATCTGATCATAGGTCGTAGAATGCTGTCACGACTGATACGAAATTCATTGCCCTCGTTCCCACCGACTATTTCAATCTTGAACGGTGAACCGTTGGGAGGAGCGTCAAGGTCAGTAATGAAGAACTGCTGCAATGGTGCATTGATTTCCGTATCCTCCTGTAACACAATACAAATAACCATGTGTCAATAACAGGAACATTCTCAACAAACTGATAATGATTTACCCAGGAGATCTTGGCTTTGAATTGTAATCTTGTTGCGAGGCTCTTAATGACAGCAAGCTGCAATACATTTTATGTAATGAACAACAGTCACTTTTTTTTTGCAACCAACCAAGAATATTCATTCTTGGCAATAGTAATATAAATTTTGAATGAAGGAAGTTAGAATCAGTAGAAGTCTCATACCTGAGACTGAATGTCAGTTATAACCCATATATGTAGATAGCTGGAATGACTTACCTGTGCAATGACAGTGTAGTTATCTTGTGAAAATCTTGGTGGATTGTCATTGATGTCCGAGACTCTTATCTGTATGGTTACATCAGTAAACTGTGGATCATGGCCCTGATCACTGGCTCTTATTGTCAATGTGTATGCTGACATCTATGTATACAAAGAGAGAGTTATCATTAATACTAACTCAAAGATAAAATGTTCCATTTAAACACACATTCAAGTAATTCATACATATAGTCGAGTCAGGAATAATCACAAAACAAAACTTGCTGGGAGTGTTTTTCTAGCTTAATTTCAGTTATTGGTTGAGTTTATCTGCAGGCTATGAGCAATCAATCTCAGAAAATGTCGCTATTCGCTTCACAGTTCATTTATTGAGAAGAGAAAAAGCACTCACCTGCTCTCTGTCCAACTCTGATGTAATACTAATGAGACCACTTTTACTGCCAATGTGGAATTGATTCAATCTATCTCCACGTTGTATAGTATAAATGACATCACCATTGAATCCACTATCGGCATCTGTGGCTATCACCTAGAATACAAACCAAATTTCTTGATTCATTCAAATGTGAACTAAATTCAGTCCAACGCACAAGAAAGTCCAAGCATTAGGTAAATTCACACTACTAAAGTACTCTAATATCACAACACAGTATACTGGGAAAATACAAATTGCTTAGTTACCTGCAACACACTATCGCCAACTTGTGCTGCTTCATTGATATCGGTACTATAGATCTGCTGGTTGAATATTGGTGAATTGTCATTGGCGTCTGTGACATTAATATTAACTGTGGTTAGATCATGTTGTGGTTGGTCACCACCATCAACAGCCTGCACAGTCAGATAATAGTCAGTGGCCATTTCATAATCCAAAGGTTCAACCACTGTGATAACACCTATGGGAGAAAAAATACATCATATTTAGAAACATTAGCATATTACAAAATGGTATTTTACACATGACATGACCCATTTTAAATATAATGGACTTCTTGGTAGATACTGAACTGATATAGAACTGTTTATCAACATTACAGAAAATGTCATTACAGCTAACATTGTCCACTCAGTGTTTCTAAAGATAACAGTGGGTTTCCATGTAATAGGACAATTTGATCACCTCAATAGTGAATTTCTGTCTGTGGTTTGAAAGGAGTTCAACAAATCATGTATTGAGTAAACCAGCACATTAAACACAAACGGCTTTCTCCCAGTCATTTCTCATCAGACTTGCTTACTTGCTTACTCCTAAAAACCGAACACCTGTCTCAGTTCTGTTTTTTTCATAGAATATAAGTATCACTTACCATTCTTGGGATCAATACGGAACTTGCCATGTTCATTGCCACCAGTAATTCTGTATGTTATCTCTGCATTGACACCAATATCTTTACTCGTAGCAAGTACTGAAATAACTCTATGACCGACAGGCACATCTTCAGACACAGTAGCGTAGTAATCACGGAATTCAAACTCGGGTGGATTATCATCCTCGTCAAGTACAAAGATTTCTAGATATGCCACAGAACTGAGTTTTGGTGTCCCACTATCAGTAGCTCTTACAGTCAGATTATAGAAGTCTTGTACTTCTCTATCTAGTTCTTTGGAAAGACTAATGATGCCAGAATCTTTATCAATATCAAACACACCACGGGCAGAGTCAACAAAGGAATACTTCACTTGACGATTCATACCTGTAACAGACAACACATGACTTAAGATTTAATTATTTGAGTTGAGAAAACTTTAGGCAGAATTGATGGTGTGTATTTCATGTCAAACCAGTATTTGTGAATAATTTAGAATTAGTACATCTGAAATGGCTAGTATTTGAAACATGTCATGAAATACATGTGACAAAGAGTAAATGTAAATACCTGTGTCTGGATCAGTGGCCAGTACTCTGGTCAATAATGAATTGACTGCAGTCTTCTCAGAAAACCATTCACGGAATATCTTCTGTGTAAACTGAGGTGGATTGTCATTGACATCAGTAAGGCTAATAGATATCTCCGTTGTACATGATCTACCACCACCATCAGTCGCTGTCACACTGAGACTATAAACAGGTTTGATCTCTCTATCTAAAACTGATGCTGTAGTCAGAACACCTAGAGATAGACAAGCAAAATGGAGCTCACATATTGGATGTGCTTTTATCATGTATTCAATGAGCAAGAAAACATGCAATGTAATGAACTAGTTGGATTGCTTTGGAAAACAGGCAGTTATGAATGGAAATCAACATTTTGATTGCATCCGACTTTAAAAAGGATGACTTCAAGGCTGCTTAGCATATTCTGGGAGATACCACTCTGGGGTAAGCAGAAATCAGATCAAATTCAGGGACACTCGTGTCGTGTCATTTCATGGGCAAAGGCAAGTAGATCATAATGAATAATGCCCACACATATTTGTATTGAAAACAAGTAACTGATAGAAAATATACAATATACTATATGCAGCAACCAACACTGCCCTGACATCAAAATTGAAATATGCTCATGTCATACCTGTTTTGGGATTCATGCTAAAAACCTCCATACCATTCCCTTCAATGATATATGTAATTTCTGCATTGATTCCTTTGTCGTAATCTATTGCTGAAACTGTGACAACAAATGTACCAACAGGAACACTCTCCGATATCAACTCTGAATACAAAGTCTGTAAAACATAAGAAATAAAAGAATGAAACCGCAATCTATAATTGGTATGCTGAAATTACAGATTGTAACTGATTTGAAGACAAGTTTGGCACCCAAATCTAAGTAATATTTTAAGAATTCAGTATACAACTTGGTGTATATGCACATTCTACTGGAGATGTGCCTTCAATTGAAAAAATAAGGGAATATTTAATACGCCAAATGAATTTTGAATTCTTTCCCGTATTTTGACTGCAATTCGTGTCATTGCAATTCATAGTCAGGATTTAGTATACCATACATTTGTGATGTACATTTTATATGTAATATACAGCAATTATTTTGGTGAATGTAACATTGCAATTTATTAATGCATTTCTAGCAGGAAAAACGGTTTACAGTATATACTGGATGTACAGGAATAATTTGTTTGGTAACTGACCTGTTGACATTGTGGACTGTTATCATTGGCATCCAACACATCCAGAACAACCAATGTGACATCAGTGAAGACACCATCACTAGCTGTAATATTCAACATGTATGATTCTTTCATTTCTCTATCCAGTGGTCTGTTTACTTTCAACTGTCCAGATTTACTGTCAATTGAGAACTGCGCCAGTGGGTTACCATTAGTGATGTAGTACGTAATCTCAGCATTGGAGTCTGCATCGGCATCTACGGCCGACACTGTTAGGACTTCGGTGCCAACTTCTGCATCCTCCATTATGTCACCCATATAGACAGGTTGTAGGAAAACAGGTGGAGAATCGTTGTAGTCAGTTACTTCTAGTTGTATGACTGTGTTGTCTGATAATGGATTCCAATCATTGCTATCAGTTGCTGTGACACTGAATACAAATGTAGGTGTAGTTTCTCTATCTAAATCACCAATTAGCGTTATCCAACCATTCATGGCATCAACTGCAAATACCTCAGACACATCACCAAGGTTATCACTCAGTGAGTAAGTAATTTGACTATTAGTAGTAGAATCAATATCACTTGCAGATACCTGAATTACTTGCATGTCTAAATCAGCATTTTCAGGTAAACTCACAACGTAGGGGTTTGCTTCAAACCTAGGTGCATTATCATTAGAATCTTTAACTTGAACTGTGACATCCACGTATGCTGATAGTGAAGGTACAGTTTCAGTAGCTGCTTGGATTGTTAGTTTATACCAATGTACAGTCTCGTAATCCAAATTACCACTTACAGTAATCAGTCCAGTACCGTCAATATTGAATTTAACAGGATTGTTCGTGTTTGGCCCATTTCCAGGCACTATGCTGTACTTCAAAGTATGGTTGCTCATGGCGTGTATTTTTCCAACCTCACTGCCAACTTGTATGAGTTCAAGTACATGGAATACGAAGGATGTTTCTTCAAAGTAGGGTGGGTACTCATTAGGGCCTAGTATGTAGATTTCAATTGGTACATTGCCAGACTTTGGTGGTTCACCATGATCTTCAGCTTTGATGAAGAACTGCATTACAGTACCTTCTGAAATAGTTAAGTAAACACAAATAAAACATTAGTGACATTCATTTCTGAAGTATTCCATAAACCCCCCTTGTCTTGCAACAACATGTTATTTTATATATTGTTTTTGATTAAAAGAATTTGTTACGTTATCTGTCAAACAGAGTATAGTAAACATCTTCATTTCTTGGTAATCAACACACATAGACAAAGGCTAGAATGTTTTTATGAACTAAGTCTAAGTTACAATAACCCAATGCTGTAACTACTAAGGGACACACTTTTGTGAAAGTTACAAGGAAAATTATGAAACTTTGTAATAAGTAACATTTCCTAAGAAATGAGTTACAGTAGTCCTGGGAAGTCACAGTAACCTTTTTCTGGATCCTAGGGAGCTACTGTGGCTTTTACTTGACTTTCAGGAATCACAGTTACTTTCTAAATCATCATATTTGGAAAATTCCAACCATGAAAATTGAAAGTAATTAATGATAAAGTCTGCTGTACCACACTTAGGATAGAAATCCACTCCTCGCTGATGAGTCGGATAGCAATAAAAGGATTCTCACCTCGACCAACAAGAGGTTCCAGCGTTGTTAAAAAGCCACTCAAAAGATCAATTGTGAACAACTCAAGGGCATCGGTGGAGTCATCACCATAGATAGAATAGTTAATATCAGCATTTACACCAATATCTACATCAACGGCTGTTACATGTAATATCATACTCCCCACTGCAATGTCTGATTTGATGTTAGCTTTATATTCGGTTAATTCAAACTGTGGTGCATTATCATTATGATCCACGACTGCAACAATAACCTCAGTAAATGCAACTTTGCCACCACCATCAGCTGCCATGATTGGGATAGTCATGGTACGATCTGATGCCACTTCGTGGTCCATCACTACGGTGCTGAATATCTCACCTATAGAAAATCACACAATGAAATTCATGAATATATATACGAAGCACGAAAAAAAGACTACCAGAAATAATGGCAAGCATACTCAAACATGGAGTCTTGTGTATAAATCATTTTATTAAAAGACTTTCATGCTTTGCTCGGGAAATACCATTACTTATGCAGGTGTGGGTAGGTTGGAATAAGTGGACAAATTGTCTTGTTTATTTTTTTTTTCGGCATCTCCAACAATAGATTTCATCGTGATTTTTTCTCTGATTCTAACCTACAACAATGGCCAATATAGTAGCACCCTTGAAATATTGTTTGTTTTAGACTTACCGCTTTCGGGATCTATAGTAAATTTCTCCTTTGCATCTTCACTGATAATTGAATAAATTAACCTGCCATTGGTACCTTCATCTTGATCTTCAGCTATAACTGTAAAGACATGTGTCCCAGCTGGGAAATTTTCTTGTAAAACAGCACTGTATTGTCTAGATGTAAACCAAGGACTGTAATGATTCACTGTAGTAACACTTATCTTAACGTTAGCCGAGTTAGTAAAGACGCCGTCAGATACAGACACATTCAGGGAGTAGACTCCTTTCAGTTGTGGTGATCTGGTACTGGTCAGACTTATTATACCTGAAATAACAATGAGTCAATGATTAAGTTACTCAAGTGTGCCAAAAAACATGAATTAATAACTCTTTTATTAGTGTCTCACTGTTGATGTACAACACAAATACAAATAATGCCACCCCATACACATTACTTGCATTTTTGTTGTGAATTACAATTTCAGCACACTGCATGCATATTAAGTTTACTCCTGAAAATAGCTTACACTATTTGCCCACATGCAATGCTGTTTACACAACATAGTGAGTTGCACTGTCTGTGAATGGTTAAACAAGGCAACAGGGTGCAAAGCGTTAAAAAATGTATGTATACCTGTTGCACTGTCAATAACAAAGTACATCTCCTTGTTGCCAGATGCAATCGAATATACCAAACGGTTAGCATCAGTGCTATCTGGATCGGTAGCTGTTACCATGGTAACAAAGTTTCCTCTATCTGCCAGTTCACTGATTGTACATTCATATAGTTGCTTTTCAAAGTTTGGTGGGTTGTCATTCAGGTCTGTCACGGTGACGCTAACACGTGCTTCACTTGTCAAAGCAGGAACACCACCATCAATAGCAACAACCTTAAAATCATGGCTAGCGAAGACTTCATGATCCAATGCACGGGACGTCAAGAGGAGACCGCTGGATGAGTCAATATGGAAGTAATCTGTGATGTTGGACACCTCGGCAAAGTGGTAGGATACAAGAGAGTTGAGACCTGAATCATAATCTCTGCTGCTAACAGACGCAACATATGTACCAACGGGAA